CGGGACTGGGCTTCCCCACCCCCGGGGCGTGCGAAATGCCAGATCCGCCGCGGGAAGGGCTCTCTGCTGGGGGCATGTGGGCAGCCCCCCCCGGATCTGCGCTCCGTGTGATGTGATGAGCCACAGCTGGCGCTGGCCAGCCGCTCCTGCCCCTGCAGTGCTGCTGCCCTGGTCCCCGGCGCTTCTCAGCATGAAAGTCTTCCGCAGGAAGGCGCTGGTGCTGTGCCTGGGCTACGTGCTGCTGCTGCTGCTCACCATGCTCAACCTGCTGGACTACAAGTGGCACAAGGAGCCCCAGCAATGCAACGAGCCCCCCCCGGCCCGGCGCGCCCCTTCCTCCCCGCAGCAGCCCCACTTCCAGCCCCGCTCGGACATCCGCTCCCTCTACCGGGCCCCCGCGCCGCCGCCCCGCCAGCGCCAGCTGGTCTATGTCTTCACCACCTGGCGCTCGGGCTCGTCCTTCTTCGGGGAGCTCTTCAACCAGAACCCCGAGGTGTTCTTCCTCTACGAGCCGGTGTGGCACGTGTGGCAGAAGCTGTACCCGGGGGACGCCGTCTCCCTGCAGGGGGCGGCCCGGGACATGCTCAGCTCCCTCTACCGCTGCGACCTGGCCGTCTTCCAGCTCTACAACACCGCCGGGGCCGGCAAGAACCTCACCACGCTGGGCATCTTCGGGGCGGCCACCAACAAGGTGATCTGCTCATCTCCCCTCTGCCCGGCCTACCGCAAGGAGGTGGTGGGCATGGTGGACGACAAGGTCTGCAAGAAGTGCCCCCCGCAGCGGCTCAGCCTCTTGCAGGACGAGTGCCACAAGTACCACACCCTGGTCATCAAGGGCGTGCGCGTCTTCGACCTGGCCGTGCTGGCCCCCCTCATGCAGGACCCTGCCCTGCAGCTCAAAGTTATCCACCTGGTCCGGGACCCCCGGGCCGTGGCCAGCTCCAGGATCAAATCCCGGCATGGCCTGATCCGGGAGAGCCTGCAGGTGGTGAGGAGCCGGGATCCCCGCATCCACCGCATGCCTCTCCTAGATGCCAGCCACAAGCTGAACAGCAAGAAGGAGGGGGGAGGTGGCTCGGATTACCACGCGCTGGGGGCCATGGAGGTGATCTGCAGCAGCATGGCCAAGACCCTGCAGACTGCCCTGCGTCCACCCGACTGGCTCAAGAACAACTATCTGGTTGTCCGCTACGAGGACCTGGTGGTGGATCCCATCAAGACTGTGCGGCAGGTGTATGGTTTTGTCAATCTGGTGGTGAGCCCGGAGATGGAGAAGTTCGCCCTCAATATGACCAGCGGGCCCGGCTACTCCTCCAAGCCCTTTGTGGTGTCTGCCAGGAATGCCACCCAAGCAGTGAGCGCCTGGAGGACAGCATTGAGCTTCCAGCAGATTAAGCAGATTGAGGAGTATTGCCACCAGCCCATGGCTGTCCTGGGCTACGAGAGAGTCAACAACCCCGAAGAGGTGAAGGACCTAAGCAAAACATTGCTCAGGAAGCCAAGGCTGTGAATGGGGCACAGAGGATGCCAACAATTATCCTTT